CTTCCTTACCTTGTCAGAGCAGCTCTCTTTCCCACTTAAGACAGGAAAGAGAGGCAGAAACTAGAAATGTTAATACCACATGAAATAAGCATCCACAAAAGGGATATGCATGCGATAAAATAAATTCCTTATTCTTCATTTCGTTCTCACAATACAGAAATGTATAGGCTAGGTCTAATAAGTGATGCATCCATTTAAACATTCATTTACTTTCTTAAACTAACATAGAACCTAAAATATCAGGATAATAATAACCTCCACCAGTGAGATGTTAAAAGTCAAAACACACCTGCCTTCCCTCTCACATGAAGCAACACACTGGAAACACTGTGGAGCTACAGTGCATCGTATAGGTCCTGCATGCTTTCTTTTTGTTCCCCACATAGGATGACCTTTGTCTCACAGCTGATGTGCAGTCCATGTGATATTGATGTATTCCCGCCGGTGAACTGAACCACAAACAACCTGCATTTTCCAATTCCCCTCTTGTTTGTTGTTCTCTGCCTCTCTGTACCGCTCATTCTCTCCTTCCTCTCAAGTCGGTGCATCCTGAATATGCAGCCAAACACGACGTCTAACACCCAGCATGCTGCCTTTGTGATAACCTAGAGGCACAGTTCTGTGAATAAACAATATCCCAGAGTTTGGGTTTCCTACATTTTTTACTATCAATATGCTGTAAAAAGGCACGGGTCCGCAGTGGCAGGTTTTTGAAGGATTGAGGAAAAAGTTAGTTGAATTTTCCATGGAGTTTTGTGCCTGCAATGACTCACGATTACAGTCACTTAAACCATGGGCGTAGGAAGCATCCTGAATGTGGGGGGGGACATTTTTAGTGTGTGTGCCTTACCTCCGCTACCGGCATCGCTTCATACAACAGATCTGAGCTGTCCAACTACGGCAACACTCCTTGAACATGCGCGCGCTATGTGAGAATCTGCCTTGGTACAAAGTAGCAGTGAAAACATGGTACGGAGTTTCATTGATTTGGGCATTCTCTCAATAAGCAAGTGGAATGGATTTGATAGTGAAGCACTGACTCAGCGCTCTACAAAGTGTGGCGAGTGGATAGACCGATTCACGGACTTTCCACATGGTGAAAATGGGGGGGTTTAAACTAATCATTTCAAAAAGTAGGAGGGACTTGTCCCACCCTTATATAATGGCTGCGACGCCCATGAGGAAACACATGTTGTCTCAGTTGGATGATCAAAGCAACACAACCTGATTTTAAGCTGGCACATTACGTACTGGCATAGTGGCGTCCCATTTTCTGGGATACAATTAGAATATTTTACTGACTGGAATTTGTGAAAATGGATCAAAAACCACAGTTTAGCTGTTATGTTCAGTAAAATCACATAAATCATGAAAACAGACAACAACGTTTCTCCATTACTGTATGTGCTGTTGCTAAAGAGTAGAATATGAACTCCATTTTACGATTTTACTTTGCAAAGAATGATTTATAAAAATACATTTTCTTTGTTTTAGTTGTTGTTATATGACCATCGACATTTCTCATTAGTCCTATTCGCTCATGTATTCAATTTAACTATAAGAGCTTCTCATGAATTGACTAAATACATCACATTATTACATATACAGTGTATGGTCCAAAATGGATTTGTATGTGCACAATTGCATATTATAAAGCCTTGATCCACTAAGCCAAGTATATATAGTAAGCTCTATATTATCGTACTTTTCCAGCGTGAACAAACTTGAGACTTTGCCCTGAGTGTCTAACACTGAGACACCGTTTTGGACCTATTTGACATTTTAGAGCATACAAGCGTTGATCCATCATCATTCAAAATGTTGATACTCGCTGTTATAATGTCAGAAACAAACACAGTATTTCCTGCAGGGAGCTGATAATATGTAAGTCAATTAAAAGCTCCTTCATGTGGGCAGCTCTCTGGTGTATGCAGCGGGACGACAGCTGAGCGACGGCTCCACAAACGAAAGGTCAGCGGATGTGTGCATTAATAGTCGTGTCGCTCTGCCTCTGATTAAAAGGGCAACAGCCGCTGAAAGCTGCACTGTCAGCTAAATGTGTACAGTATTGAGTTATGTTAATTGAAATTACCTGTCATAACAGGAGCAGAGCAGGGAAATATTTACTCTATTAAGGGCTTGTTTGTGGAGGTGAATACAAAAAAAAACGTTGGCAAACTATGTAAGCCGCTGAAAACACAAACAGGAAAATGTCACGATCATTTTACATACTGTATACACACCAAATGAATTACACACACACACACACACACACACACACACACATACACACACGCACACACACACACACACACACACACACACACATACATTAACACCAACAAACACTTCTACCTGTGTATTAGCACTTCACTGTACCTAGGACAACAACAATCCAACATTTATGACACTTTAAAATGTTTGCAGTAAAAAGCTAACCTTATGCTGATAGTTTTTAATCTCTAAACACACATTTATAGGCTGATAGAAAGTGAAATCGGTCAGTAATAGATGTTCATATGAGGCTACTAATTGACATTTTCTTGGATTACACAGGTGTAAAAGGTAACAATATGCACCAAGTGACACACAAGCACACATTACAGTATAGTATGTTGCAAGAAAAGCCATTTGCTGAAGCTTCTAACTTCCCGGTCTGGGAATGTGATGACAGCAAATAGTTTGGTTCATGGTGGAATGCAGACTCTTTGTCATCCCACCTTAAATGCACATTATGCAATATAGAGCTCCACCTCGTGGAAGCTCTGACAGAGAGAATAAGAAAAACTGAAGAAACACTGTACTGTAGAGACGCCCCGATAAATCATGGATTACAAACAAGTGTAGCGCTGAAAAGACGTAAACATTCAGGAGTGGGCAGTGCAAAGAGAGGATGTGTGTGTGTGTGTGTGTGTGTGTGTGTGTGTGTGTGTGTGTGTGTGTGTGTGTGTGTGTGTGTGTGTGTGTGTGTGTGTGTGTGTGTGTGCGTGCGTGCGTGTGTGTGTGTGTGTGTGTGTGTGTGTGTGTGTGTGTGTGTGTGTGGCCTAGCATTACTATACTTGTGGGGACCTAAATCTGTTTACACAGTCACGTGTGGGGACTCGCCTCCCTTATGGGGACAAAATGGTGGTCCCCATGAGGGGAATCATTCATTTTAGGGTGAAGACTATGGTTAGGGTAAGGGTTAGGGTTGGGGTTGGGCATGTGTTGGTTATGGTTAAGGTTAGGATAAGTCTCCAGGAAATGCATGTAAGTCAATGTAATGTGTGTGTGTGTGTGTGTGTGTGTGGTGTGTGTGTGTGTGTGTGTGTGTGTGTGTGTGTGTGTGTGTGTGTGTGTGTGTGTGGTGTGTGTGTGTGTGTGTGTGTGTTTGTGTGTGTGTGTGTGTGTGTGTGTGTGTGTGTGTGTGTGTGTGTGTGTGTGTGTGTGTGTGTGTGTGTGTGTGTACCTACAGTGAGAATAAATGCCAGTTTGCAAGGTGACTGTCACAGTTTTAGCCTGAGGGCAGTATTTTCCTGACGCAAAGTCTGCCTGCTGCTAAAGTAGAGGGTTGATGTGTGTAGTTATTGCTGGGAACACAAACACACACACTCACAAAACAAACAAATATATCCCATAAAAAAAACCTTTCTGTGACTTATGCGATGAATATGTATCAACTCGGGTTATCCGCTGAGGTCAGGTTAAAAAAAGGAAATAAATATTATTTAATTGTATTTGTTGCAAATATTCCGGCTATTATTATTATTATTATTATTATTATATAGAAGCAGAGTGACACACACACAAACAGTACGTGACCTTCTGAGTAACTTTCCTAATCCTGCACACACACACTAACATATATACACACACATACACTCACACAAATACTGGCTGCGTTGTGGCCCACTTTGCAGTTTAACACTGACGTCATCTCTTGCCGGGACACATGACAGTAGATCCCACAGTGACTCACACACACATGCACAGAGAAAACATGTTGCACACACACTTCAACACATACATATAATATGCTAATCTGTTTGCTCTCCCTGAGGTTTCTCCCATGTTCCCTTTAAACTGTGGGTTTTCTCTGGAAGTGTTTCCTTGTACGATGTGAGGGTCTAAGGACAGAGGGTCTAAGGACAGAGGGTCTAAGGACAGAGGGTCTAAGGACAGAGGGTGTCGTTTTTCTCATACTGATATTCTGAACAATCTGTGTTGTTGTATTTGCTGTAAAGTGTCTCTACTGTAGGCTATTTTTATTTTATGTACAGCACTTTGGCTCCACCAAAAATCGTTTATAAATGTGCTATATAAATAAAACTTGATTTGATTTGATTTAACACATATGACATATCATACTCATGCACACAAAGAACATGGCCAATTTGTGCACAGATTTAATGACAGATGTGTGTCAGGTGTGTGTGTGTGTGTGTGTGTGTGTGTGTGTGTGTGTGTGTGTGTGTGTGTGTGTGTGTGTGTGTGTGTGTGTGTGTGTGTGTGTGTGTGTGTGTGTGTGTGTGTGTGTGTGTGTGTGTGTGTGTCTCCAAGGGTGGCAGCAGAAAGGGTGATCCTCACTCTCCCTTCAAAGTTGTCCGGACCTCACCTTGTGGCATTTACAGGAATGTGTGTGACAACTTGACTCCAAAGCAGCAACACTAAAGACTTGTTGGACTGTTGGATAAGTTATTTTATTTTATATTATATTCATTTCTATATGTTTTAAAATGTATGATCTTTGGCTCTGCTGGGTTTCCTCTCTTCAGTCGTTAGAGTATTTCCATATTTAACTTTCCATTGAAATGAAACACAAGGTTTTTGATCAGATTATGTCGGTTTGCTCACTCGCTCAATGGCTCGTTAAAACAGAGGACTTCACATGTTGTTATCTGCTGAAACTTGCTATGTATCCAAATGTGAATTTTAAAGGTTTAAAGATATTGATTAGTGGCATTGCGCAGACATGTTTTCATGTGACGCTGTATTTATAAAAACACAAACAATCAGAGAAATAATGATGTGACTCTTTATTGTATTTGAAATGATAACATTATACAAGAAGTTGCTGTTGTGGGATACATGTGAATTACAGTGCAATACTTTTCAGAGGTTGACCTACCAACAGTATGAGATCAGCATGTTCAAAAGAGTTACAGACTTTTATATTTTCCATTTGTTGTTTTCAAAACACAATCTTGATCAAATATTGTGCAATTTCTGTTGAATTGATAAAAGGGTTCTATTATTACAATTGTGTTTCAAATGTATATTAAAAAAGGATCATAACAACAGTTTCAAAAGCATGAATTTGTAAACTAACATTTATAACTCAGACACTACTTTCTGATATTAAAGTTATAAAATCACAATTATTTGTTTGTCATAATAGTTGAACAATTAATGTAAACCAACCGCTAGTAAATGTATCACCTGCAAATTAAGAGTCAATCAACATTTGTTTTAACATCATGTGTTAGTCTGTCGAATGACATGACTTCTACACACATGTTAGACATCTCTATAATATCTTAAGACCGGTATTGCCATTGATCCATTTTTTGTATTTCAGATCACAGATTTTAATAGCGCTTGCTGGTCTATCACAGGCATAGATACTACCGCGAATATGCACACCGTAAATCATGCCTTTGAACTCCACTCCTCCACCGGAGTCCCCCTAAAGAGAGCGATGTACAAATTGTTTTTCACAGAATTTTTACTGGAATAATCATTTATTATAAACTGGTAAATCGGGCAAACTCACCTTACTTGTATCCACGTCAGGTTTTTGGTAACAGATCAATTGTTCATTTTTATTGTAAAATGAACTGGCAGTGTTACAGATTTTCTCACACTGGACAACTTCGGTGTTTCCACAATGGAGAGTGGTTTTCAAATCGCCTCCTAGATGACAATATCAAAAGGTTTGTATGTAAATATTTGTCAACAATGTTACCAACTTTTCTGTACACCTAACATCTGGAACAAACTACCGCTCTCCTTAATTGGCTGAATGTCAACAATTTAATTGAACCGAACACAATAGTCAATACATTTTACAGGGAAAGGAAAAAAGTCAAGAATCAAACTACACTTCCGAAACCCCAACAATATGGCGGACTTGATGCACCCAACCTCAACCAATACTTCCTATCCGACCAGCTGCAATATATATGTCACTGAAGAAATAACACAAATTCAGCCTGGATCGACATCGAACAAAAACAGAAGAACTCTGTGTTAGACATTGACAGTATATAAAATAAACAGATTCATATCACCTTTTAAACCAGTAGCATCTGCCCCTGTAGCTCCAATACCTGCGATCTGGACTGTATCGGTTCTGAAATACAAAACAAGACTCAACATTTGTAATGGATGACAGGGGAATTTCTCAGTTTTTAGTAATTAAGAGTGGAATTTTCCAAATGATTAAAGATCATAACTCACATTTTGGGAGTGTTGCTACAGACAGTAAGTCGTGCAAAGGGAAATCCATGATCAGCATCAGGTAGCTTCAGAAGCATGAGGTCATGAGGCCCATCCGGGTCACTATACCTGATAGGTTGATCTATGATTATCACCTCTTTCCCTTTTGTTTCTGCTGGATGAAAACCTAAAATTGCTGTCACAGTCCTACAAATAAATAAAAGAGTGACATTACTTACTAAGTGTAAATGCATCATACTGTGATATTACATGTTATTAAACATAAACACAAGCAAGTTATCTTAATTTCATCAAAAGCTATATGTCTTTTTAAAATAAATTGTTATTTTTATTTTTAAAGGAAAACGTTCTCACTCTCCCGGCTCCACGTTGTGACCTGCAGTCAGAATCCACTGTTTACTGATCAGAGATCCACCAGACGCAAATGTATTTCCCTTCGCATCAACTGTTCTCAGCCTCACATGGTACTTGTGGTCCTTTTTATCGCATGGGACACCTTTGTATACTCTCTTATCCAGATCCACCACTCTGCTCACTGTCACACCTGCAAGAGAAGATCCACCACCAAGACACTGAAAGTAAGAGCAGTGGTTGTTGTACAGAGGGTTGGGGAGGGTAACTTTAAGTATCACAATCAACTTTTGGATCACCTAACCATCAAATGCATTGCAAATAAATAAGAGAGAAAATAAGTATCAATAAGATGGCTTTTACTTATTGTACTATGTAATACAACAGAGCAATGTAGCGTTTCTTAAATTACATTACTCACACAACAAGTGTAATCTTTAATTGTATATAATGGTAAAAGTAAGCAGCAGAAGTCTAAGTGGTAGCTGATACTCACCGGCCAACAGCAAAAGAAGAAGACCTGTCGTCATGGTAGTCATCATGGTAGCCATCTCTGTCGATGCCTGCCCTCCTAGTGCCCTGGTGGGGCTTTTTTAAATCTTTTCACTCTGTCCTGCTGGCCGTCCAGCCACCAATCACCTCAGGAAGGTCTATCAACACAACCCCATTGGCTAAAGATCACTTATCAAATGCTCCTGCCCTATGGCTGAACAATGTATCAGACATACAAAAACTGTGTCTTCAAATAGATACATATTATTTAAGTGTAAGAAAATATTAGAAAGACTTGGCTTAAAGTTGACTTATTGACAGGAAGAAAAATCCTTTTGAAGCAATGAAGTGAACAAGTTACTGTGTGGCTGTGTAGCAGTGTCTGCATTCACTCTGCAAACCTTTAAACATCCTAGAGATCAGTTTCTTCCTTCAAACAAAGGAAATAATAACTCTTTACATGTACCTTTTGGGTTTCAAAGGTACATGTAAAGTGAAGGTTGGATATCACTGATTGATGGTGTTTTTATATAACCCACTATTTATTCAATTTTCCTATTTTAGAAGAAGCAGAAGAAGAAGAAGGACCTTTATTAATCCCCCTTTATAAATTCAGTTTCCACTCTGTCGTACACAGACATGCGTTTTTATACAGGTCATACAGTACACACAGTACACACTTTTTACAACATGCACATACATACACAGTTATATGCAGACATGCACATGCAGTTGAGAGGTCAGAGCGGAGGCAGCCAGTCTAGCCGGAGCCAGTGAGCAGTTGGGGGTTAGGTGCGTTGCTCAAGGGCACTTCGGCAGTGGCCCAGGAGGTGAACTGGCTCCTCTCCAGTACCAGTCCACACTCCGTGTTGTTTGGTCCGATCGGGACGTGACCCGGCGACCCTTCGGTCCAAAGTCCAATCCCATACAGACTGAACCACTCCCGTAAGTAGGGAGGATTCTTTATTCTATGTGTTATAGGACATTAAAGAAATCACTTTGGACATTCAAAAAAGACACTGGCTTTCAGACTTTTTATATAATGAACTCATTTATACAGAAATTGTTCAAAAGCACTGGAGGAAAAAAGGCCGTCATTAAAGTGATAGCTCTGTACATGACTTGTAACTAGGCGGGTGAGTGTTTCTCTGTGTGTGTGTGTGTGTGTGTGTGTGTGTGTTCCCTTTAAAGTTGTCCGGACCTCACCTCGTGGCATTTATAGGAATGTGTGTGACAACTTGACTCCAATGCAGCAACACTAAAGACTTGTTCGACTGTTGGGTAAAGTTATTTATTTGATTTTATATTAATTTCTATATGTTATAAAATGTATGATCTTTGGCTCTGCTGGGTTTCCTCTCTTCAGTCGTTAGAGTATTTCCATATTTAACTGTCCATTGAAATGAGCACAAGGTTTTTGATCAGATTATGTATGTTTGCTCACTCGCTCATTGGCTCGTTAAAACAGAGGACTTCACATGCTGAATGGTGTGTGGTGTTTTTGCATATCTTGATTTCATAAACGCACCGTTATGACTTTACAACTGCTCTTGTTATGTATCCAAATGTGAATTTCAATATCAATCTCTCATTGTAATCTATCACAGAGACCTTTGTGTTCATACTCTCTCCTCTCCTCTGCCTCTCTAATTTTCTCTCCTCACGTTTTCCTTTCCTCCTCTCTCTATCTTCATCTCCTCCTATTTGAACTTGTTTTAACCTTAATTCTATATCCTTATCTGATTTCCAACCACTTTTGGTTAATGTGACTCTTGTTAACTAATCATGTCCAATCGCGACTTATCATTAAGATGTGGCTTTATTTGAGAGGTGAACCCAAGTTTCCATATTTCCCAGAAAAAAAAGTATTTCAAAAAACGTGTGCAGTGGAAGATATGTTTTATAATATACCTATTACTACTCACTACTCTTCACTTCAGTGGGAAGCACTGTACTATAAGTTTAAATGTACACAGACTGTATGCCTATTCAAAACTTTAACTTCCAATACAGAAAAATACCTAATTTAGGCTTAATTTTTGTTGAGAAATATAACAAAATACAGTAAGCTATCAGAGAAAAAACGTGTGTTAACATAAGTACATTATTTCAGTTAGATGAGCACAAAGGTTTTAGGGATGGATTACAATGAAATTGAAAATGCCCTTTGATTCCATTACACTAGCAGCCATAGTGTGCTAACCGTTCGTTTATCAATCGTTCGTAAGGCAAATTCAGAAGATAACAACACAATGAATGTGAAGTCCTCTGTTTTAACAAGCCAATTAAATATTTTACTGAGTAGCAAATGGACTTAATCTGATAAAAAGAACATGTGTTTAATTTCAATGGACAGTTAAATATGAAAAAACTCTACAACTGAAGAGAGGAGGATTATTTATTCTGCTCTATGTTGTACATTAGAAAAATAATTTGAGACACTGGCTTTCAGACTTTTTGTATGAGAAACTAGACTAAGTTAAAAAGCCATCTTTAAAGTGATAGCTTTGTGCATGACTTGTAACTAGGCGAGTGTGTGTGTGTGTGTGTGTGTGTGTGTGTGTGTGTGTGTGTGTGTGTGTGTGTGTGTGTGGTGTGTGTGTGTGTGTGTGTGTGTGTGTTTGTGTGTGTGTGTGTGTGTGGTGTGTGTGTGTGTGTGTGTGTGTGTGTGTGTGTGTGTTGTGTGTGTGTGTGTGTGTGTGTGTGTGTGTGTGTGTGTGTGTGTGTGTGTGTGTGTGTGGCTTTTTTTCTCCATAATCTGTTCAGGATGAATAATTATCTCACTCCTTTTATCCATCTTTCATCTCTGCTTTTATTGTATTGTTGCCGTTTGTCTCACTTTCAATATTGCACATGAACACAAAGACCCAGACACACACACAAACCCACTCACACACACACACACACACACATTCGCTCTCTCCTTTATTATAATTATTTCCACAACAATGATTGGGCCAGTTGATTAAAAAGGGTCTTCTGGGAGCTGTTTCCTGGCTAATGGCGTCTGCATTCTACACAATGAGTTCACAGAGTACAACACAAGAAACTATATGAAACACACACACACACACACAAACAGACACCCCCCCAAACACACACACATGCACAATTGCATAGTTTTTTACATTTAGCAGGAATTGCATACATAAGCGAGTCACGCAGACATACATTTGCTGTGTGATGGCATCTGAGATGTGCCGATTCATTTGTTATGTGCAGACAAACAAGCAAGCAGACACTTTTCTACATAAATACAATATTGTAATCATAGTCAGATTCATTTTAGCTGAACTGTTGTTCAACCACCGTTAAACAGGGTCATCTTGTATTTGTCAATATATTACATATTTTCAGAGCGCAGATGGAGCTTAGATCCTCATTACACCAGAAAGCTTAAAAGATTCATTTATTTTGTTACAGTTTTGAACGCATTGTTTTGACCATCAGTCAAATTGAATAACCACAATACTCCCAAAGGTAACTGCATGCATTGTGGAGCAAAGATAAAAGTTCAACATATTTTTTAACAAAAAAATATGGAGCTGAATCCGGGCCAAAAGTTTTTGATCGTTTGAAATCAATTATCTATTTGAAGGTTTGAGTTTTGATGCTGAAGTCTGAAAATTACAATAATTGATGATGCTACCTTCAGGGTCGGTTTACATAATACGTAATGACTGCACAACACACTGTACAACTTTAAAACACTGGAAGAACAATGCACTATCCAGTTTGTTGCTATAAAACAAAACATCCCTTTGTTCCCTCTTAAAGGGACAGTAGACTTCCTCCCACTTCCTTTAAACTAGCTTTGTGGAACATGATTTAAGATCTACTTTAACATTACATTGCATTTAGCTGACGCTTTTATCCAAAGCGACTTACAATAAGTACATTCGACCAGGAAGACACAACCTTGAAGAAAACAGAATCATAAAGTACATCAGGTTTCATAGAGCCAAACATTTCAAGTGCTACTCAACTGGCTTTAGGTAAGCCAGTCCTTTGTTAGTATATAAGCGCTCTGTTAGCAGTTCTTTGTTAGTAATTCTATCGCTCGAAGTGGAGTCGAAAGAGATGAGTTTTCAGTCTGCGCCGGAAGATGTGTAAGCTTTCTGCTGTCCTGATGTCAATGGGGAGCTCATTCCACCATTTTGGAGCCAGGATAGCAAACCCACGTGTTTTTGCTGATGGGAACTTGGGTCCCCCTCGCAGCGAGGGCGCAGCGAGCCGTTTGGCTGATGCAGAGCGTAGTGCACGCGCTGGGGTGTACAGTTTAACCATGTCCTGGATGTAGGAAGGGCCAGATCCATTCGCAGCATGGTAAGCAAGTACCAGTGTCTTGAAGTGGATTCTAGCAGTTACTGGAAGCCAGTGAAGGGAGCGGAGGAGCTGATACACTGCAATATGTGCAGTCATAGTCTCGTTTGTTGTTACTAATCACACCAACATGTCGAAGTTAATGTTTTAATTATAAATTGGTTTGACTCAACGTTCTCCTTAAGATGTGTGTCCTCCATCCGGTTTATTACACTCATTACTTCCTGTACTTAGTTTAAAGTGTCATTCTGCATCAGCTGTATGTGTGCAATGTGCCTAAAAGATGTTTACGTTTTGGCTTCATTTTGATTGCTATCTGCTTCTTTACCCCACTGTCGGCCCAGCAGAGGCTTTCTGTCAGCTCAAATTGGCTGCACTGGGTTGACGACAAAAATAGACACACAGGTTGTTATTCCTCCCCCCCTTAGTCAGCTTATTAGACCTCAATGCCCCCTTTAGTTTCTCACTTTTCATCCCTCCATCTTCCCCTCAGATAACTCTATCAGTAATAGGCTCCAGTGGAGGCGGCCTCCTGCTGAGAAACTGATTTACTGTGCAACCTGAAAGCAGAAGAACGAGGTTAACGCTTCTTTCTGTCTTCGCCACTACTGATTCACTGCATTGTGTTTAAGAAGTTACCCTGCAGAAAGAGGACAAGAGGAAGGCTAAGGGAAGGGAGAAGAGAACATTAGCGATAAGGAAGAGAACAAGGAAACAAACACAAAGCTGCAGCGTATAAGACATG